CAGGCCATGGCAAACCACCCCTGAACATCTCTTGTCCTGACCTGGACTAGCCCGCTCTCATTAGATCTCGGAAGCTAAGCAGGGTCAGCCCTGGTTGGTACTTGGATGGGAGACCACCAAGGAGCTCTAGGGTTGCTACGCAGAGGCAGGCCAGGGCGAACCCACCCCTGCTCACCTCTTACTTTGAAAACCCCATGAAGGGCCACTGTTAAGTTGGCGGCAACTTGGCAGTCCTTTACCCACACAAGCGTGGCTAGGGGCAGGTTGTGAATGTTATCTCCTCTGCTCAGATGCTGAAAGGAACAACGGACAAGTCCTCTCCAAAGCCGATCCCTCTGCAGCTCCGCCTCCTCCCTCGAGGGCTGCAGCCACACCCACCTCCTTGGGCAGATGGCTTCATTTAGGCCGTGCCACTCCAGGGGCCCCCAGGAGTTGGAGGAGGAGGGTTGCTGGTGGCAAATGCTAGGGCTTGCTTAAAAGAAAGAGAGAGGTGTGTGTGGGAGGGGATGCTACAGGTGAGAGGGAAGAGAGGTGGAGCAGGGGGCTCCAAAATCAAGCTGAGCTTCTAGGTTATTGCAGTTTATTTATTTTTCAGCATTAGTGGCTTTGGTGGTCTGTGTGGGTCCCCATGGCCTCCGTGGAGGCGGTCTTGGCCACCGCTGGCCTGTTGGGTGGGTTCAGCCACTTCCAGGACCTGCCGTCTGAAAGCTTCCAGGTGAGGAGGGGTTGTGGGGGGGTGGGGCTGTCTGGTACGTTGTGAGCAAGGCTCCCTCTGAGCCGTGGAGTCTTGCGAGCAAAAAGTCTACCTTGCGAGCTCCTGGCATTGAAGTGGTGAGCGAGCGATTCGGCTGCTGCGCAAATTAGTGTGCTCTGGAGCCCCCTCCTTCCTGAGCTGAGATGGAAATCTGTGAGCCGGAGGCTCAAAGACCATGAGCTGGCTCACACTAACACTAACTCGGCTTAGAGAGAACACTGGTTAGGAGCTGGGGGGGGCCTTTTGTGTGGTGACCCCCTCCTCCCATGAGCCTTTCTTCTCTGCGGCGTTTGTGACCTTCGGGCAGCTTCTTGCCTGCAGAGACTCCGTCCTGTCCTTCCTGTGGCAACCTGGGGCTTCCCGGATGCTGTCTTCTTCTTGAACCAGTGGAACGAAAGTGTGCGTATGGGGTGTGTGTGTGTGTCTTTTTTCAAATGCTGTGGGGGAGGAGGTTTCTGCAAGGCCAAAAGGCCCGCCTGGGGGCAGTGTTCCCTCTAAGCTGAGTGAGTGTGAGCTAGCTCACAGTTTTTTAGCCTCCGGCTCAGACATTTTTGTCTCCACTCAGGAAGGATGGGGCTCCAGACTAATTTATGCAGCAGCCAAATCGCTCACTCAAAACTTTCATGCCAGCAGCTCACGAAGTAGGATTCTTGCTCACAAGACTCCACAGCTTAGAGGGAGCATCGCTTTTGACCTGCCTTGCATGTAGGCCTATTTCTTTGCTTCCTGCCTATGACACCCCGCCTTTCTCCACAATGGGGGCTTACATCATTCTCCTCTCCTCCCTTTTATCCTCACAACAACCCTGTGAGGGAGGGTCAGGCTGAGAGTGTATGATTGGCCCAAGGTCACCCAGCCAGCTTCCAGGGCAGAGCAAGGATTCGAACCTGAGTCTCCCAGATACGGCACTCCACCAGACAAGGATCGGGCCTCTCCATGCACCACCACCTTTCCTGCGGCACTGGTGTTTCTGGACGGAAGTGATCCCTCGTTCAAATCTGGCTGGGAGGGCAGGGTATACATTTGATAAATAAAATAAAATAAATAAAATCTTCCTCCTCCACAACAGCTGCTTTGGAGGGTGGGGTCTATGGAATTATGAGCCACGGAGGTCCCTTCCCAGGTTCCGGAGCCCTCCTTCCTGGGCTAAGACAAAATGTGTGAGCCAGAGGCTAAAAAACTGTGAGCTAGCTCACACTGACTCAGCTTAGGGGGAGCAATGCTCTGGAGCCACCCTTCCTGAGCTAAGAGACAAAAATGTGTGAGGCAGAGGCTAAAAAACTGTGAGTTAGCTCACACTGACTCAGCTTAGAGGGAACACTGCTCTGGAGCCACCCTTCCTGAGCTAAGAGACAAAAAACGCGTGAGCCAGAGGCTAAAAAACTGTGAGCTCGCTCACACTGACTCAGCTTAGAGGGAGCACTGCTCCAGCGCTCTCCTTCCTGAGCTAAGACAAAAATGTGCAAGCTGGAGGCTAAAAAATTGTGAGCTAGCTCACACTGACTCAGCTTAGAGGGAGCACTGCTCCAGAGCCCTCCTTCCTGAGCTAAGACAAAAATGCGTGAGCCGAAGGCTAAAAATCCGTGAACTAGCTCACCCTAACTCATCTTAGAGGGAACACTGGGTTCCACCCCCCAAATACCCAGAAATTTTCCAACCCAGGCTTGTCACACGACTAGACTGAGTTTGTCCAGGACCACTTGGCTTTCCTGCCACTCAGAAGAGCTGCTGGTTCCTTGTGCATAAGAGTGGCTTGTGTGAGATCCTGATAACAGGAGCCTTATCGAACCTTTGTGGCTGGCTGGCAGGCAGGCAGGGGGTTAATCTGGCCCCAGCCAGGGCCTTTCCTTCTCTGGGGCTTCCTGATCTCCAAACATTGGTAACTTGCTTACGTGCCTAGTGGTAACGGTCCCAAAGGTGTCAGTGCCAGGGTGCTGTAGTGGTGAAGTGCGCGGAATCTAATCTGGGACAACTGGGTTTGATTCCCCACTCCTCCACTTGCACCTGGCTGGATGATTTTGGGGCATAGTTCTGATAAGAGCTGTCCTTGAAAAAGAGCAGTTTCTCTCAGAGCTCTCTCAGCCCCGCCTGCCTCCCAGGGTGTCTGTGTGGGGAGGGGAGGGGAGAAGAGTTTGTAAGCCGCTCCACTGAGACTTTTTTGGGGAGTGAAGGGTGGGGTATAAATCCAATCTCTTCTTCTTCTTTCCAGTTCCCAGCTGGGATTTGCTGTGCTGCTTGGCGTGGCTGCTATTTATTTATTTATTTATTTCGATTTATATCCCGCCCTCCCTGCCAAGGCAGGCTCAGGGCGGCTGACATTAAAAAATTAAGGTATATTAAAACACAGATGCATTGACACAATGCAACATCATAAAACTCATAAACATAACAAATCACGCATACAATTAAAGTGCGGATGGCGGTAACAACTCAGTAGGCCATGTTCAAACGGTGACAAGAATATGGCCAAAATCGGTGTCCGGTATATCCCAGCTGTTTGGTGTAGTGGTTAAGTTTGGTGTAGTGGTGTAGTGGCGCCAGTGGGGCCCAGTCGGGGCCTAGGGGCTTCCCATCACCCACTGCAGTTTGGTATAGTGGTTAAGTGTGCAGACTCTAATTTGATTCCCCACTCCTCCACTTGCACCTGCTGGATGATTTTGGGCAAGCCATAGTTCTGGCACAGCTGTTCTTGAAAAAAAGAGCAGTTTCTGTCAGAGCTCTCTCAGCCCCACCTGCTTCCCAGGATGTCTGTTGTGGGGAGGGGAAGGGAAAGGAGTTTGTAAGCCGCTCTGAGACACCTTTGGGTAGTGAAGGGCGGGGTATAAATCCAGTCCCTTTCCTTCTTCTTCTGTTAGCCTTTGATGCTGACTGAGAGGGCCTTAGCAATTCAGCTGTTATGACCAGTGCTTCCCGCTTGCTTGCGTTCTAGTGGCAGAGGACGGAGGGCGCAGTGGGGCTCCCGTCTCCCGGAGGCTTGGATGAGGCCTCCCTGCAGGTGAAGCAAGAGGACGACGGCGCCTGCTGGGACCCGGACTTCCTCCTGAGCAACTTCTCCATCTGGGAGCCGTTCCCCACTGGGGTTCCGTGCCCGGGCCCAGAGGAACAGCCCTCCGTGTCTGCTGCCTACCAGGCGGGAATCTTCGTGGGGGCACCCGGAGGGGACCTCTTTGGATGCCGAGGGACTCCCGACGGCTTTGGTCCCCTGGCGGAGACCTCCATGGACTGTGTGCCCACCCTGCCCCACTATGCCCAGGCGCCAGTGGGGCCCAGTCGGGGCCTGGGGGGTTCCCATCACCCACTGCAGCACTTCCCTGCCCAGGCGGCGGGCAGGGGTCCTCTTCCAGCCGGCCAGCCCCGCAGAGAGCCCAAAGCGGCCGGCCACGGGCCGCACGGCCGGCTAACCTACGAGGCTTCTTTACACCCGGTGGCCTTGCTGAGCAGCCGTCATCTGGCCAGCCCGGGCCAGTCCCAAGCCAGGCTGGTCCAGCTCTACCAGGCAGATCCGGCGCTGGCCGCTTGGCCTTTCCTTGGCCTTCCGGCCCCTCCGAAGACGGCACCCAAGCCCCGGCCACGCAAGCGGCCCGCCGGCCATGCCTGCAGCCACCCCAGCTGTGGGAAGACTTACACCAAGAGTTCCCACCTCAAGGCCCACCTGCGCACCCACACAGGTAATGGGAGGGAGCTGCTGGAAAAAAGATGTCAAAACAGGACGTCCGGAAGGGAACTCAAGGGTCATCTAGTCTAACCCCCTGCACATTGCAGGGGATTCACAGCTAACCCCCACCCGATTCCCCCTGCGACCCCTGCTCTGTTCCCTACTCTATGCCCATAGACGGTTACCTCCTCTGCCACAGGGAACTGCCTCTTTAATAACGCTCTCCTTATCAGTGCCACCTTGTTGGGTGGAGGCATTTGTGAATGTCCTGCCTTGTGCAGGGGGTTAGTCTAGATGACCCTGGAGGTCCCTTCCAACTCTGTGAGTCGATGATTAGTTCTCTGGGCGTGAATTTCCATGCCAGTGTTGCCAACCTCCAGGTGGTGCAGACCAAAGAGAGAGATCACGGGATGGAGGTCGAAAGGAAGCCAACAGCCGTGATGTATTGTGCCAAAAAAAGTATTCACAGACTTGAACATTCTTTTCTCAGAATTCAGCTTACTTGAAGCAATTCAAACGCCATCAGCACCAACGAACCATGCATATTACATCTCGTTTCGTGTATAACTCTATCCAGGGGTCATTTCGTAGAAAAATAGGCGCAGGAGCTCATTAGCATAACTTATTTGCATATGCCACGCCCCCTGACATCACCGGAAGTGTGTCAGAAGGCAACACCCACCACTCAGGCTCCACTGGACTGTTTTGGATTGCTAGCTATTGGGGGGGCGGAACGTGCAGATCTGTCCTCACAGAGGAGGGAGAGCTTGTACCTGAATAAAACTTGGTCTTAAAGATGCCACTGGACTGTTTTGGCTGCTTCTTGCTCTGACTAAGGGCTGCTGGGAGCAGGGGGTGGGGCTTGTTGCATGTGCCCGCCTCCTGGGCTTTTTACTGCCGGAGCTCTGTTCTGGCAGGAAATGACCCCTGACTCTATCGAAGTGGGTAGCGTTGAAATGTTGTTGTTCAGTCGCACAGTCGAGTTTGACTC